TAAGTAACTTTTGTTATAATTTTTCTTTCGTCTCTCAAATTGAGCCTAAAAACTCCAAAGACGCCTTACTCGATGAACATTAGTTTTTAGCTATACAAGAGGAACTAAATCAATTTAAGAGAAATGAGGTTTGGGACCTTGTCCTCCTCCACGAGACCATCGAGTAATTGGTACTAAATGGGTGTTTAGGAACAAATTAGACGAAAACGGAATAATAAATCACAACAAGGCTCGTCTTGTTTCTCAAGGGTATAACCAAGAGGAAGGCATCAATTATGAGGAAACTTATGCTCTGGTTGCCGGACTCGAGGTTATACACCTTTTACTTGCCTATGCATGTTCACAAAATTTGAAGTTATTTCAAATGGATGTTAAGAGTGCTTTTCTCAATGGATACATTAATGAATAGGTATATGTATCTCAACCTCCCGGTTTTGAAAAATTTGAGTTTCCTAACTATGTTTACAAACTTAAGCGTGCTTTGTACGGTCTTAAACAAGCCCCTAGGGCTTGGTACGAACGTCTTAGCAAATTCTTACTAGATCAAGGATTCTCAAGTGGAAAGGTTGATACAACTCTCTTTATTAAGCGTCAAGGGAAACACTCTATTTTAGTTCAAGTTTATGTAGATGACATTATCTTTGGATCTACTAACATGCATTTGGTCAAAGAATTCTCTAAGCTACTGCAGGGAGAATTTGAAATCAGCATGATGGGGGAGTTAAACTACTTCCTCGGTCTTCAAATCAAGAAACTTGATGAAGGGACTTTTGTAAGCCAAAAAAAGTATTAAGCGCTTCGATATGGAAAACTCCAAAGTAATTGACACTCCAATGCCTACGGCGGTGAATTTGGACCGAGATGAAAAAAGCACGTTGATATAAAAAGGTATAGAGGTATGATTGGTTCCCTTCTCTATCTTACTTCATCCCATCCGTATATTATGTTTAATGTTTGTATTTATGCTAGGTTTCAATCATGTCCCAAGTAATCACATAAATCCATAAAGCTCATACTTAGGTACCTTTGTGGCACGTCAAAGTATGAACTTTGGTTATCCAAGGGTAGTGATTATTCTTTGGTTGGCTATTATGACTCCGACTTTACCAGTTGCAAATCGGATAGGAAGAGCACTAGTGGGACTTGTAATTTCTTTTCAAACTCCTTAGTAAGTTGGCATAGCAAAAAGCAAGTTTCTGCCGCTTTGTCAACTACCGAGGCGGAATACGTTGCAACTGCTAATTGTTGTGTCCAAATTTTGTGGCTCAAACAACAATTGCTCGACTTCAATGTTAAACTTGAACTTATTCCTATTTTTTGTGACAATACAAGTTCCATTAACCTAACCAAGAATCGAGTTTTGCATTCACGCATAAAACATATTGAGATTAGACATCATTTCCTTAGGTATCATATAGAAAAGGGTGACGTTTTATTCGATCACGTTGATAGCAAAAATCAACTTGCCGATATTTTTACAAAACCACTCGTGACATAACCTTTCTTCCACATCCGTAGGGAACTTGGTGTTCTCGATATCTCGGATAGGTTTCAACTTGACTAAGTTGCATGCTCTTTATTTTATGATTGTATATTCCTTCATAATCTACTATGTATAATGCAAGCGTTAGTGAGGGCACTCATCTTCAATCAGCCATGGAGGTAATATCGTTCTTATCTATTCGACTACTCTTGATCATGTGAAAATGTTAAACTTGTTTACAATATGTATTTTTCATCATTGACATAATTTATGTATGTGTAGGCTTTCTATTTATTGTATGAATGACATTAAATAACATGAAAATTTTGAAAATTAAAATTTGGATTGCATGAGTCGACTCATGAGTTGTAGTTGTCAGTGCACACTGAAGCATTTTCTGATCTTGATATGGTTCTTTGTAGTGAATTTTGTGACTTTCATTGTTTACATGTATTGCTTATGCTATTGGTTATTTTATTTTTCCAAGAACTTAATTTGTGTTCATTGTTTTTATTGTTGAACTCATTTGGTGTGTAATGAACTTAATGTGTTTGATTAATTATGTCCATTATTATATATTTTGCACTAGCTTCATTTTATGTGAATGTCTGTTGGTGTTTGTTAGTTGAAAAGTATATGATGATCATATAATTGAATATGTTTCTATTACACTTGACCTTGTAATTTTCTCTTTTTGATGTTGTCAAAGGGGGAGAAGAAGCATATTAAGAAGATTATGTTACAGATTATGTTGAGCATGTGGTTGTAAGGAAGGCACAAATTCAGAGGGAGGATATGCGCTAAAATTGGGCTGAGTTATTGGCTTAGGTTTTTCCATCATAAAAAAGGGGGAGTATGTGAGGGAAAGGTACCTCTACTCTTGTTTTAATGATGTCAAAACATTTTGCACATCTTATATTTATGCTCAAAATATTGTTTGGTTGGCAAATTTAAGTTTTGAAATGGATGACTTGAAACTTCTTGAAAGAAATTATTTTTGGCCACTTCAACTATTTTTACCGACTCACACAGTTGGTGGGTCGACTCATGGATTGATCAAGGACTTTGCACCTGGCTCGAGACTTCTCTCGTCGACCCTTATGGTCGACTCATACTGGGATTGAATTTCTTTCAGGTTGCACTGGTGCATGCCCTGGTGCGGTCGATGCATCACTTATTTTTGAATCATATCATCAAGCTCGGGTTCGCTTAGGTCGACCCCTCAAGACTGTATGAGTCGATGCATCGCTAATTGCATCTGTTTTTCTGCTTCGTTTTTGGTCATACTGATTATGAAACACATTTATATTGGTCTATGTTCATCATTTGGCATAACAAGTAAAAGTGAAAGATATACACACACAACTTCTTATCATCTCCATCCTCTCATTGCATTCATCAACAATTACATATAACAATTTTTGTTGATCAAAGTGCAGAGTTATGGTGATAACATTCAAATTGAAGACTGGATTTCAGATTTGGGTTGAGAATTGAGTGAGTTTTTTCTTGAATAAAACCTTTAGGGTTTTGTCCTCCAAGATTCGTGTTAGTGCGGGTTTTTTTTGCACAAGTCTTTGCTTCATTGAATTCAGCCAAGTGAAATGGTTAAGAAACTGTGGGTTTGCTCAATCAAGTAGCGGTAACTGGAGGATTGTGAAGAAAGACTTAGGGTCAAACATCTTGCAATCAAAATCAGCCGAGTGAAAGATTTGTAGAACGAAGTTCTGATTTCTTCATTGCACTACGGGGATACCTAGGCACATGGTTGCAAGACCTTGGTGAACTTAATAATATAAACTTTTTGTTTTTTCCTCTAATCAATTCATTCATGTATTCCTTAGAAAGTAAGCTTTAGATATACACTCTCTTTGATTAGAACAATCAGAGTAGATACTGTTGAGTACAATAGACGTGAGAGGTGCTAATACCTTCCCCTTGCGTAATCGACTCCCGAACCCGAATTTGGTTGTGAGACCATGTTCTTTCCATTATGAGGTTTTCTCGATGTTTTCCTTTCCCTGTTGGGATAAATAAAGTTCGATGGCGACTATATGTTTTTTTTCGCATAGCGACATCCCATATCATGTCTTAGCTTATCTTACTCATATTTACATGAATCTAAGTTAAATGAGATTTTTCCAAATTGACCTTAGGTGGTAAAATGACTATTTTACCTCTAAGTCGTTAAGCCCATTAGCAAGCGCACAACGAATTTTTAGTTAATAATTTGGGTAGGGATCTAACATAAAATATATAGATGATAACTCTAATTCTTTTCTAGACTCTTGGTTACTCAATCTTTGTTCTATTTCGCAATTATTTAATGAAAAAAAAATATTGAAGGACAAAGTTGACTCTAAGTCGGCATATTTGAAAGAAAAAAAGTATTTAAGAAAAAAACATATAAAGCTAAGACATTAATAGCCCTTACTTAATTATAGTAACTCCTTAATTGTTAATTGTAGTAATTCATAATAATGAAATAGTGGTAGTGTAGTCTCAAACAATAATCAAGATATCTGTAGTAAATAAAGTAGGGAAAGCTGAAGTTTCTACAACTTCGGATGATGTGAGCATAGAGTTGACAACGCAATCACCTTTCTCCTCATCATCAGAAATAAGAGAATTAAAGGAAGAATCACTAGAGAAAGCTTCTTTATCTTGAGAACCTCTATAAAGTATATTGGATTCAGAATCATCAGATACATGTATGACCATCGAGATTATTGAATAGTGGTTATAGGATAAGAGTTTGAACTAGAAGACACTTCTTCACTAACTAAAGAAGAGGATCCAATACTCCCAAAATAGTTAGACACACTAATAGGATGATAATTTATATGGGTAATGGTAAATTAAATACTGAAGAATATGACACAAGTTTAAGGTAAGAAGGGTACGTGATAAGATTAGATTCTGGCGAAAAAGGTGATGGTTAAGTACGAATTGAAAGCTTTGTTCGAAAATGGAAACTTTTCTAAGAAAGGCTCCTAATGAGGGGAATAAAGGACACTCACAAATGGAAACTGATTCTCAAGGATATGAAAAGTTATCCAGAAGTCTAGAGGCCTCTATATATAAGGGAAAGTGAGCAATGGACCAAATCAATAGAAGATAATAAGTTATAAATCAATAGACATATTTCACCTAGAAAATGTAAACAAACCAAGTGGACTCAAATACATAGGAGGAAACGCCATACCCAAATCTACTAACCTAAAGTTGCGAGTCTTAAAAAATTGAAAAATGTTTCAATGATAGAAAAGCATTTAATATGCTTGTTCCTCATTACTTTTATAACCGTTCCATGATTTTCCTAGTCTTCATCATGGACGAACATCATCGTAAAGGTCCGACCACGACTTTGAAATACTTCCCGACTAATATATGCTCGGCAAGCCTTAAGGGAAACAATTTTCGGTCGACTTAAAACCTAACCAAAACACACGTGACATCTCTCAAATCTTGGTTGCAAGCCTGGTCCATGTCTATTAATGTTTAACTTGAATGTGTTTCATGGTGAAGCCATCCTCAACTCAATTCCATATGACCATAATAGACTATATTGCTTACTTGAGTCCCCTTCTACAATTTGTCTAGCTATTTTCCTAGATTTGAAAGCCCTATAACCAGTTATCTCAGTTGCAAACCTCAACCTTCCATCTGACACTACTCCATTTAACTTCATCTTATTATTGTTCTTCAAATTTTCAACATCATTTTAGCAACCCATTCAACCTTAGCACTCTTGTTGAAGAACTGTCTGCCAAATTTATATTTGTGAAATAAAGTCTTAATCTTAAATGTTATGCTTCTTAAACCATGGTGCATAAAATAGTGTAGTTACAAAGCTTTTTATGCTTACATACAACCCTACACCTCATGTCACCATTTTTGACAAACCTAACCTCTCTACCATTCAAAACATTGTACTCTAGTATAGTCTTCTTGAACTTCTTCAGAGAGGAAAACTTCATTCTAACCTTGAATATAAAATCCTTTTTAATCGGTTCTTCTTCATTAAACATAATCACTACAAGCTTGTCCTTACAACTATCTTCCTCTACCCTACTATCAAGTTCATCATTCATGTAATTTTCTTCTATGACATATTCCTCTTCCATCTCCGTTGTTGCAAAACTAAGGATGTGTGGTTCACTGGGCGTAGCACCATCAACATCACTTCTCCCATTATCCCTTTCACTCGATCCTTCATCAAAGTCTTCATCAAAATTATGCATTCTCTCTTCTTCACTATCTTTAAAATGTACACCATTGATAGTTTCATCACTTAATTCATTGCACTGACCATAATTCTCACCATCATCAAGACTTTGATGCCCCTTATTTTTCTCTTTTAACCTCTCCATATATGGTAATTCACCTGTAGATGGTTTTGCCTTAGTATAAATTTCAACTTCACACTTATTCTTATCAGCAAAAAAGGTAACAATGATGCATCCTCATCATTTCTAAAGGGTTTCAGATCTTTTTCCAAACTACCACCTTGTTATTTCCACCACATTTTCACACAATCAACATTAAACTTTGAATCACTAGCCTTAATTAGATCGAGGTTTAAAGAAGGATCAGAAATCACTGTCTTGTCCATTGTATGCATACATATCTCCACCTTTATATCTTAACTTGGGGTCTATTACAAAAATAACCCTTAGTGTAAAGTACGACCTTAAATAAGCACAACTCTATAAATTACACATGTGGTAAGGGTAAATTTGGTAATGATTTCACATAACTACAACAACTCAATCAAGAAACTATCAATTGGGTGTTAAATATTCAGTCAATGTGCAACTACCATAAAGAAAACTACAGTCAATTTAGCTTATTATATTCCCTTATTTTAACATGACAACTCAAAAACCCTAAAATTGTGGGACATAAGAAAAATAAAACAATGCTAAAAACGAAAAAGAGAAAGAGACATACGGGACAAACCTATATGGAACATGAAACACCGAGGACCACAACTTTCAAGGACCGACCCATTTCAACGATCACGCCAAGCTTTGTACAAACCGAATTTCGCAATCTTCTTGCACAACGATTTCCATAGTTGCATCAATGGTGAGGAGGATATGTCACAACCATGAAACACAATTTCAGGATTTCTAATTCAGTTAAACACAAATTCACGTCAGTGAAGAGACACAATGATAAATCACTTTAACTCATTGATAATCATTTTTAACTTTTACTCTAGAGTAATGATGAAATTAACCATAGTAAAATTTTAAGTGACTTACATTTTAACTCATAACTTTCAAATTGTGGTCACTTGTATTGTCTCGTCACCTTCTGTTACTCAGATCTAACATCAGAGATAAAAATTATGGACAACAAATATTGAAAGAATGATTCTTTAATTAAAAATTTTAGAAGATCAAAAAGTAAAAATAATTAACTTTATAAGATTAAAAACATATTGACCTTAATAAAAAATGTATATTTGTAGGCGTAAATTTGTTCCTTCTTTTAAATTCTTTTTAAGATTTTTGATATGTAATACCCTCACACCTCATCCATAAACTCCACTTCTTTTTTTTTTTTGAAAACAATCAAATTACCTAATTACTTTGTCTTGCCATACATTGATCTATTTACTATTTATATTTAGCTTATATGTCTACTTATTATTCCGGTCATAAGTCTTACTCTTCTTTTAAAATCAAACTTTCTAATATGAACTAAATTTCTGTCCCACCTATCTCAACTAACCCTAAGTAGTTACATGGAGGGTTGAAAGGAACAAATTAAAGCTTTTATGTTCAAAAATGTATTTGTTTTGGTACCCTATGGAGTAGGTATAATTTAAAGTTGAAAAGCACAATCCCATGTGAATCTAATAAAGTTATTGGTATTTTATAGTGTACACGTCAATATTATTTTGTGAAAGTTCTTACTACACTTATCCAAGATAAGAAAAACTCTTATAATAAATACACATTAATAGAGGGAATATGATATTTTTAGCTCGATTTATTAAGTAGCAACATTTGATTCTTAAAGTGTAACATTGATTTTTGTCTTTGTAATTGATTTATAATTTTTTTGTTTAAAAATAATTATTATTAGAAAATATATCTCACATTCACTAACATAAAATGTGTATTGGACTTCTAAAAATCAAACTTATTAGTTATTTTTTAATACTCCGACTACCTTGATTATTTACTTGCTAATGTTTCAATAATTTTATTTTTTTTGTACCATACTATAATTCAATTGATGCATCTACTAAATTAGTTAGTATGTTGAATTTCTAAGATGCAATGTTGTAAAAGTCTAGGTTTCTATAAACAGCCAAACGTGTATTTTATTTCATTTGGAAGGAAAAGAAAGAAAACTAAAATGAGAGAAAAAAATGTGTAATAAATTTTTCTTGACTTGCAAAATTCAATTCAATCTCATTAGCTTGGTAATATCATGTATAACTATTGGCGTAGTATTTTCTTTCTTTTTTTAGATTTCGTATTCTGATCTTTAAGATAATTGTGTTCTAATAAATCAGAGTCTGTACTACAAAATCATAACTTTGATTCTTAAGAGAATAATCCTTTAGTAATTCAGAACTCGTGTCGAGATATCATGACACTGATTCTTAAGAGAATTGTGCTCTAGTAATCTAGAGCTTGTGCTGAGAAATCATGAAACTGAACTTATTTATCACTCGAACTCATGTGTTTGATTAAAAAAAATCATAATTTAGTTTTAACCAACCATCTACTTCAAAAGTTCCAATTCATAATTTTTTTTCTTTCTTGCCGAAGCTATTATTGGTTATAACTTAAATGTTGATGAAATATATCCTTTTAAAATTTTGTGGATTGTTATGCAAGAAACTTTCACCCAATTGGTAATTTTGATTTCCAACACTTTTCAATCTTCAACTTCAATCATATAGATAAAAATAAGCAGGTTTATAAATGCATTGGAAAACCTTGTACTATGAAGCAGGACCCATTTGCATGTTTCACAGAAACTCAATCAAACTCTGATCCCTTTCAAGAGTAGTACATTGTAAGAGGGCATGTCAAATCATGATCATTCATTGAAGAATAACTTCCATGAAACAATGAAAAAATGTTTTGTAGCAGTTGAATCCATAATGTGCACATGATCGTGTTAGGCACGGCATTGGCCACTATATCACATGTATATGATAATAAAGCTTCACCACTCCAAAATGGTTGGTTCAATATTAATTATTAAAAGTATACCAACACATTACAGTTGATAAAGTAGCATCACATGTAATGAAGGTGCGTACATATGTTCAACTATCACTATACCTTGCTCAGAAAAACTGAAGCAGATTCAGAAAATGAATGTGACATCTGAGTCATGCATGTAGTTTTTGATGGAGAGTTGTGTAAAATAGAGTTTTCTTAAGCTAGCATTACTTTCCAAAAACATCTATTTGCTTAATCAATACATAACTTAACTTGCTTAGTTTACAATCAATTTATATCCTAATCTAACTAAGATCATGTTATTGCCAAAAAGTAATTGATAAAATGCAAGTTCTGAATATAGTAACTCAATCTATCATATTTATCACTACCAAATATGCTAAATAGAAGAATCAAAAGGAAACTATCAGAAAAACAGTTAATAGTGAATGCTTGGAATTAGCATCTCAAACCAACACAACAACTATTCGAATCGGTTCTTTCACACGATTCAAAAATGTTAGCAATAGCAAAACAGATAGTAATACAAGAGTCCATTTATAGCTGAAAAATTACATATGCAAATAAAATACATGTCTTATTGATTCATTCAGTTCGAAAACTGGAAATCAAACTATTGTATGATGATTTTACTCATTTTGCTTAACAAATTATACACTGCCACGAATCAGCATATGCTCTATCGTCGTACATGAATGCTACATTTCTAAAACTACAACAATTACATTCAGAGGATGGATAAAAAAGAAAGAATATAAGAGAATATGAGATGATGTATCTTGTTTTCTCCGACACTGGAAAATAGGGTGCCCGGGCGAATAATCTCGAGTCTCCACACCAACAACAAAACTTCCTCAGTGCAGGTAACAAGAGGTTCCTTCGTAAAAAGGGGCGTCTTTGACAAAGTGTATGAAACATGGTGATTCGAGCAACACAGGCAGATAAAATGCTAAGATAAGAACAATCACAAGAATCCAAGAATCGTAATGAACAAGAATTCATAGATCCTATGTAAAAAAAGAATCCATTATCATCATCATCATCATCACTCGACAGCTTTCTTCCCACCAGAATAGTAATTCATGTACCACCTCACGAATTTCTTCAAACCAGTCTGCAGATCTGTGACCGGCTTATAACCAAGCTCTCCCTGCGCATAGCTAATATTCGCATGAGTAAACTGGACGTCCCCATTCCTCGGCAACTTCATAATATTCCTCTTCGCCTTAGTCTTCAACAGCCTCTCCAAAATGCTAACAAGATCGGAAACAGGAACAGGCGAGGTGTTCCCCAAATTGAAAACCCTCAACTGAGCCGGCGCCCTCTTCTTCCCACCACTTCCGGTACTCTTCTCGGCAGTATCCAAAGCACCTAAACACCCTCTCACGATATCATCTATATAAGTAAAATCCCTAGCAACGGTACCGTGATTCGCTGCCTCGAAAATGGGAATCGTCTTCCCCTTCAAAATATCTCTAGTGAAAAAGAAGTAAGCCATATCAGGTCTACCCCAAGGACCATAAACAGTGAAAAACCGTAAACCGGTTAACGAAAGACCGTATATATGATTATAAGTATGCGCGATTTCTTCACCGGCTTTCTTAGTAGCGGCATACAAACTAGCAGGTTGATCTGTTCTATCCTTCTCAGAAAAAGGCACCTTAGTATTCAATCCATAAACAGAACTAGAACTAGCCCAAACAATTGAAGGTTGAGGATTAACAGTTTTACAAACCTCAAGCAAATTAACAAAACCAGCAATGTTACTATGAACATAAGAACCAGGATTCTCCATAGCATACCTCACACCAGCTTGAGCAGCCAAATGCATGACATGAGTAAAAGGAACAACCTCAAAAAGCTTCCTTAACAAAGCAGCATCATTGATATCACCTTCCACAATGTAAACACCGGTTCTCTCCAAAAGAGCTTGCCGTGCACGCTTCAAAGAAGGGTCATAATAGTCATTGAAGTTATCAAGTCCCAGAACACCGTCTCCGCGCCGCTTAAGCGCCGCGGACACATGCGTTCCGACGAAACCAGCGGCTCCGGTCACAAGAACGGAGAACCCGTTTTTAGACCGGACTCTCGCGGAGGAACGGACGCGCTTCTCCCAAACAGGACCACCCCAGTTGGAAGGGCTTCTCAGAGAACGCCGGGAAGGATCCGCCGGAAGAGATGACGTCGCCGGAGATCGGAAAAAGAAGATCAAGATTGCAGCCGAGAAAACAAAGGTCCAAAGAGCAAGCTTCGCCGGAGAAGTGTGCCACCGTACACGGTTGAAGTACGAAGCTTTCTCCATCTTGAACTTTCCCGGCGTCGACGGAGCACTGTTGTCGGCGTGCGACATTTGCTTCAGCTGAGACATTTTCTCATAAAAATGTCAGATTTTGGAAGAAAAAACCGTAGGTAATTGATTGCTAGTACCCAGAAAGATTGAGAGAGAAATTTCAGATTTTGAAATGAACCCAAGATTTCTCTTCCTTGATTACTTCAAATCTCGATGCCGATTTGAACTTCTGGATTCGTTCTCTCGTTCCCCCCAAATGTGAGTTTCTCAGAAATTTCAGACTAGGGTTTCTTTTTATGAAAATTCTATGGTGTATGTGTTTGTGAGATTGAGGAGAGTCATGGAATGAACCAAAAATCAAAATAATAAGCAAAATCAAAATAAATAAAAAATGATTTTTTATTTTTATTTTTTTTATTTTGGAGTTGGTGAGTTGGCTTTCTTTTTCCTTTTTGAATTTTATTTCAATTTTTTAGGGTTTTTTTTTTTCTAATATCTTTATTAGGAATCTTGTTTCTTGTAGGAATAGGTTAGAGGTGGTGGTGGGCACACTTTTGGTTTTCAATAGTTTCACGGATTAAAAAAAGTGATTCCAAGAAAAAATTGATTATTAAGAATAGAAGAAGTTGAATGTTCTTGAGAACATGTGAATCAAAGATGGTGAAAAATTAGTATTCAATGAATTAGGATGATTTGTGTTGTTAGAGACTTTTTTTTCTTCTTTGGCTCATAGAAACAACAATAAGTGCCACATTAAAGAAAACCAATACAAATGGGTGAGTAGTAAAAAAGATGTCTATTTTTTCATCTATCTCTTAATATAATGATGATTTTGGTTGGTTGGAGATCCTTAAATTTAGGAGTTTTCTTTTTAATAAATAGTTTTAATGTAGGAGCACTTTGTTTAAGGATATTGTTGTGTGGAGGAAAGTTCTCTCTTTAATTGGGTTTCAAGCTTTGAGAATTAAGGAACATATAATGGTTGGTTGGTTGAATATGCAAATGCAAATACATTGGAAGCAATTTTGGGGCTTTTTAATTTGCTATAAAGGGACTCCTCAAATTTAGACCATTAGCAAGCATGTGTGAGATTCTTAGGCGTTTGAATTTTCATAACCCTTAAATTCAATGAATTTAGAGTCAAACTATACTTTTACTAATTTTGTATGCTAATAATGTTCTTTTTAATCATTAAATAAAATGGTCATAATTACCAAAAACTCGCATACCCAACCATAAAAGTTATGATTTTTTTAAATTTTAGTGTTAATATTTAAACTAACAATATTTTTTTTAAACGAAGTAGAATGAATATTTTAAGAGAAAATTAATTGCACTTAGTTGGTTTCAAATCATTGTGTTGAGTATAAATTATTATTACTACATGCATTACTTATAATCAAAGTAAACTATGGGGCACAAAGTGTGTTTGATACCTTGACTCAACTTTTTTATCAAGTGACTTCTTAGTTTTCCAAATTACATTGAATTCAATTGCGTCAATGGATCATTTTAAAATCTCAAACCAAATTAGTAACATTAGCTATTGTAGAGATTAAAAAACCTTTTATTTGACTTATCTCTTTTTGGAAGTTAAATTTCAATTCAAAAATTTCCATTAAACCACTAAAACATATCTATTGGAAATTTTTATTTTGTTGAAAGCATAATTCTTTAATATTGTTTTATACATAAAAATAAATAAGTTGGATTGTGATACCTAAAAATCATACGCTCACTACCAAGAGGTAGTAAGTTTAATTTTCTTTCCCCGTGTGAGAATATTTTAGATGTGTAATTTATAAGTATTTTAGGCATTGTCCTAATTCTAGTAAATTTCAAAACTTAATTCACCTAAACGGAAAAGAAAAGTTACTTATTGATGGATTGACTAACAATCATCAACAATAATTGTTTTCCTTAAGCAATTGTATAGTCTCTTAACTCAACTATGTGTTTCTTGGATTTTGTTTGAATTAATGGATTTTGGATGGAATGAAATGGCATGAAATAGAATAAAGTGATATTTTATTATTGTTTTAAAATGAGTGTTGTTTTAGCAAATAAAATTTGTTTCGAAACGAATGTCATTCTTATTTTTCAATATAGAAATTATTGGTCATCATGGAGAGCAATCACATTAGGTCAAGAATAACACACAAGTGAATGAGACACTACATATTCACCCAAAACCTTAAGATGATAGATATATGAGTCATCTCACTTATAAATTGTTCAACTTCCACTTTTCCAAGCAATGTGGGACTAACAACTCACACTTGTACACAATAATCTCCCCCTCAAGTGTGAGCTCATCCACTATGTCCCCCTTCAAGCGGAAGCTCTTTCACCCACATACACTTATACCGCCGTTGCAGGCACTACAACGAGACACGCCACCTAACCACACTTTATTAGGAAGACTTTCGATACAAGGAGCCGGTCCCTTAGTTGAACCATCGACTTTGATACTATTGTTGGATCATCAAGAGGAGCATCCACACTGGGTCAAGAGCAACACACAAGTGAAATGAGATGACTCATATGCATATCACATTAAAGTTTTTGGGTGAATATGTGGTGTCTCTTTCACTTGTGTGTTGCTCTTGACCCAATGTGGATGCTTCCGATGATGACCAACGGTGGTATCAGAGTCGATGGTTCAATTAAGGTATCAGTTTCTTGTATCGAAAATCTTCCTGACAAGGTGGTGGTCAGGCGGCGTGTCCCTTGTAGTGTCTGTAACAGCGGTACAAGTGTATGTGGAAGAAAGCAAATGTGAGTTGGAAGTTAGAAGTCTCACATTGTTTAGAAAAGTGGAGGTTGAACACTTTATAACTGAGATGACCCATATACCTATCACTTTAAGATTTTGGGTAAATATGTGGTGTCTCGTTCACTTATGTGTTGCTCTTGATCCAATATAGATGCTCTCCATGATGACCAACAGTCACAATTGCATATAACAGAAATTATTGCTATTTTTCCAATTGTGGCCTTTAATTATTATACTTTACACTATTTCCAACATATTTATAAGATTAATTTAGTAAAAGTGCAGTGTCTTATGACAACGTTATTACATTCATTAATCTGTGTGTAAAAACCCTAAACGATACTTATTTTAAAACAGAGATAGTATTCTTTGTTCGGAGGAATGAATAACTTCTTTTGTTCAATCCTAAAATATCTAAACGATTGCATGGAATCTTTATTTTGCTCTGCTTCATTTCGTTCCATTCAACCCCGTTATTTTTTATTCTACTATATTTATTTTATAATATTCAAACATAATATTAACTACTCCATAGAGCGTTAAATATAGTGTATGGGTATATTTAAATACTAAACTTAAAAAATATAAAAATAAAATAAAAAACATAAATGTATAAAATAGTCTGAGTGATTTATTGTGTGTCAAATTGTGGTGTTTATAGTAGAAATAATTTTATTGTTCATATAAATGTGGCTTACTTAAATGATGCTTAATTTGTGTTGGAAAATTAAAAGGTTCAATTACACTAAGAAATTTGTTGGATAGGGATAAAGAATAATGACAACCAAAATAAATAGTCTTCGGCAAAAATAAATCTCTATGCAATAAGGCAACAATTTAACTTACCGAGAGAAGATAAAATAAAGACAAGAAACACAATAGTTTAATTATCCAATTTGATCAAATGATCTACTATGGGAGAGAAAGCAACTCTCT